GAATTGAAAATTTCCTATTATCATGAAAAAAATCAATGAAAATTAGGAACATTTATGTAAAAATATTCTTGAATTTTCAATTTTGATTGAAAATTCAGCATAATTTAGTGCTAAATACTCATAATTTGGTTCAAAAATCAAGTTTATAAAAACATTCTCCTCTTCCTGCTGCTCAAAAAATTGGAAATCCATTGTTTCTGAAAAATTTGAAAGATCATAATTTTTTTTCTCTTTAAATCAAATTTAACGTCGTTTTCCTGTGAATTAAGCCGAGAGCAATGAACATAAAGACTGGGATATACTATCAACATCGCTCGATCATAACTCCCGTTTTCAGTGGTACAAAGAACAGAAACACCCACTGAGACTCCTCTAGCACAAAGAAATACACCGGCAGAGAATCCGTTACACTGAATGACATTTTCCGGGAATAATTCCAATTGTCATTTTTTCGGAATCATTTGAGAAAGAGAAAATTATCACGGGTTTTGCGGTGGAGACTGACTGTTTCTCGGGTGAATCATGAATCTGTGACAGTCATACTAGTGAGTGTGATTCATGCATGTTGCACGTCAGCCATCGGCATTCACTCGTCAGCTCATTTCGAAATATTGTTTGATTCTTCCTCATTTAGCTTGGGGAATAGGTTTCCGGGAGGAGGGATTGGTGGGTAACGTTGAATATTCTGATTCGGAATTGGGCTAGAAAATAGAAACGAGGGCAAACTAATTTTTTTACAATTATTTTTAAAATTCGATGCACATTTTTCTTGAAAATTTAAGTAACTTGAGGAAATTCTCGGTTTCTTGCTACTTAAAACTTTGGAATATTTTGGGCTAATGAACTTTTTGTTTAATTTCCGTATTAATCCGCTTGTTGTAGATACATTTGCAGGATATTGGATACAGAATTATGAACATGAGTTTATTTTAGACATTATTTTTGAGAATATCTCCGTAATGAGTAGATTTGGAGAAAAATACCAACAGATTTCTTCTTTACACAATTTTATAGAGAACAAAAAATTCTTTCAACATTTCCGATAAAATCGACTGATTCCCAAGATATTTACAAATCAATGAAAATCAAAAGTTCAAAATTTCTTGTTAGAGAAATTACATTCATAGATTATTTCCAAAATATCTCTGCAACTAGCAAATCCAGAGGAAAAACCATGAGGCTTTTCCAAAAAGAATTTCATGGGCAAAAAAAATCCTCTGAACATTTTCCCATAAATCAATTTGTTTAGGAGATATTTTAATTAATGAATACAAAATTAAGGAATAAGGAATCATGTATTATTACCAGAGAAGCCTCAAGAAATATAATAAAAAATTTGATCATCAATTTAATGAGCCCTCCACTATTTTGTTTTACAATTATTTTTAAAATTCGATGCATATTTTTCTCGAAAATTTAAGTAACTTGAGGAAATTCTCTTCTTCTTGCTGTTTAAAACTTGGAATTTTTTGGGCTAAAGAACTTTTCTGTAAATTCCCCTACTAATCCCTTCATTGTAAAGACATTTGCCGAATGTCTTTATAATAAATTGGATACAGAATTGTGAATATGATTTTATTTTAGACATTATTTTTGAGAATATCTCCGTAATGAGTAGATTTGGAGAAAAATACCAAAAGATCTCTTCTTTACACAATTTTATAGAGAACATAAAATTCTTTCACCATTTCCGACAAAATCGATTGATTCCCAAGATATTTAAAAATCACTGAAAATCAAAATTTCAAAATTTTCTGTTGGAAAAACCACATTTATAGACAATTTTCAAAATATCTCTGCAACTAGCAAATGCAGAGAAAAAACTACGAGACTTTTCTAAAAAGAATTTCATGGGCAAAAAAATCCTCTAAATATTTTCCCATAAATCAGTTTGTTTAGGAGATATTTAAATTAATGAATACGAAATTAAGGAATGAGCAATCATCTGTTATTGCCAGAGAAGCCTCAAGAAATATAATAAAAAATTTGATCATCAATTTAATGAGCCCTCCACTATCTAGAGAATCCTCTTATCGATTTCCGGAGATATCCCATGTCACCAATGATTCACATTATCAAACCCAAATACCCGTCCTTCTGAATCATCGTTAACTGCACCCTCCCCATATCCAATTATTCGTATCAACACCTCAAACCACAAAATGTATTTACAACTCGTGCCAATGTGATAAGATAACCCAGAGCCCGATAGCACCTAGTATCAGGTGAAATGTACATTACACCTTACTCGTGTCACCCGACACAGTATAGGGGCCCCAGATTCATTCATAAAAAGTGTGAAAAAACCTTGCCGCTGAGAATACGAGGGATAGTGGGTCAGGTAGAGGATTTCCCCTCAATTCTATTCATTCTCATCTTCATGGGATCCAAACCCGCACAATGGAGCCCCGGAGGAGTCAGGTATTTCGACCCAAAAAATCTCACGACAATCCTCGGAACAAAAACATAAACATGAAAACTATTTACGTAATCCTAGGAAAAAGGACAAAAAACGGAGGTGGCAGATGTTGGAAGTCTTATGGTCACTTCGAAAAAACTGTTTTTGTTGAGATGAAATGGAGTTAATTTTTGAGTATTTTTCGGTCAATATGTGAACGTTGCAGATGAAACTGGCAGAGAAGCCACAACAGAAATCTATAATGATGATATATGATGATGATGATATATATTATATTATAATATATAAAAATATTCAAAATAAAAAAAATATTAAAATATTTAAAAAATATTAAAATTAATTTTTTTCTCAGTGTATCTGTATAGTTTTATTTACAGCTATAGAAATAGTTATAATTAGGTATAACTATTTATGACTGTAGGGATCTATTACTACAGACATGGATATAGTAATAGCGATGAATAGAGTTGACTTATAGCCTAAGTTCGGTGACGAAAAACGTTGCGGGGATTTTCTTAAATGCAAACTTTCGGTACTGAAACATCTCGGTAATTTTACGATTTAATGACCAAATGAATGAAAAGCGCAAAATTTGATTCAATAATTTTCAGTGAGAACGGATTGAAATTTTGAAAAATCCAGGTGGATGTCCTCTTCAATTTGAAATTTCATAGAGCCTCTCCCTTCTAAATCTATTCAATATCATTCTACTGACAATTCCTACTAAATCGTACGTAAAATGTCCATTTTTTTTTCAACAGTGGAAGGATTTGGCGAGAACTTGTCGTTTTCGCCTAGAGATTTTCAATGGCTCAGGCAAGATGAATTATTTTCTGAGCTCTAATTCACTTATTAAATAGTTAATTAAACATGAATATTGTCAGGATTTTCCCATTACTATTTATCGATTTTCGTTCATTTTGTAAATGGACGTGAGGTTCATCTAAAAATATATTAAAATGTATTTTTCCTAATTAATGTTCTTCGCTGAACATTTATCATTTCAATATTTTTACGACTACGTCTATCCAAAAAGTCAAATATAAACATCACGAGGGTCAAATATGAACAAATAATGAGTGTCAAAATGCAAAAATCATACAAAAAATGAAAAAATTGTAAAAATCATACTATTACGCCAATAATTCCCTCAGTTAATCGATTAAAATATGAGAATAATTTAAACGTAAATCTACACCCAAATAATCGAAAAATACCAACTTTTGATAACAAACTGAAAAAAAATTAATTAATAATTCGATGGATATTTTCATCAGAAGAAGCTCAACCAATAATCAGATTACAATAGGAGAGAGTCGGGCAAAATGGGACGTTTCGTGATCTTCTCTAATTGTCAAGATCTTCATTTATAAATTAAGATATTGATAATTGGAAAAAATCTAAATACGTCCCATTTTGCCCGACTTTTTGCCTAAATTTGGAAAATTATATTCAGAATTATCTGGCTCCATTACGCCCTCTTTGGGAAATGGAATAGACCAGTGTAGGAAGGGAAGAGTAGGGGGGGGCAGATTTTGAATCCCTCAGTCACGTCATAATTGACTTTTGTGATGAAAATATGCATCCGAATTTTTTTTTACTTTTCCTATCGAAAATCGTCATTTTTCAATATTTTTTACCATATTTTTTTTTGTCTATTCCATATGACCTTCTGCAAAATCTCCCGTATGGAATGTGGCATCGCTCGAGTTCTTTTGTTAAATAAAAAAAAAATGTTATTGAAAAATCAAAATTTCAATTTCCTACCTACACATCTCTTTTTAAATGAAGAAGAAATTTTCGTTTAAATCGCCGAATTTATTCGTCCTTATATTCGTAATACTTCTAGTACTTGCAAAAAGTGCGTTGTGGTGTGAGCGCCCCTTAATTTCACTCCCAAATGTGTCTGATTCTACCCCAAAAATCATGGACTTGACCACCGTGGATTTTTTACTACGTAAAAAAACCCAAAACATTGTAATGATCCACCACCTTAGAACTCTATCCTTCCTCTGATTTGACTTTCGCTCCGCCGTTTTTCACTCTCAATAAACCCTGTTCCCCAATCTCTCATATGAAATTTAACAAAAAAAGAACGTTAATGAAAAATAAAAATGTCATATTTCACGCCTACACGTTTCTTTTTAAATGAAGAATTTTTTTTGAAATCGCAAAATTTATTAATCAAATACATCTGATATTTGAAAAAAGTGGTGTGAACCCCCTTAATTTCACTCCCAAATTTCACTTATTCTACCACAAGACGATCATTACGATGTTTGGGATCTTCTACTGCGCAAAAAAAAAACCAAAAATCGTAATGATTCACCACCTTAGAACTCTATCGTTCCTCTGATTTGACTTTCGCTCCACCGTCTTTCTCTTTCAATAAACCTTTTTCCCAGTCTCGCGTCACACTCCCCTCTCCCTCCGCCGAACAAAGAACATTCTTGCCTCCTAGACTGCACTTAAATCGAATCCCCCCCGACCCCCGAAAATTCCAACCCCGCGATAACGAACGTATTTTGAATGCGAATAGCCCCCCACCCCTCCCCATTTAAAAATCATTAGACATGTTTACCTTGGCAGTGATGATGCCTCGAACAGTGATACCGATCATCGGAGCAAACCGGATCTCAACCCCGGGCTCAATAACGAGTTCGCCCTCGCGATCGACATAAAGATCCTCCCGCAGGACATAAGGACTCTTCGACCTCTCCAAAATCCTCTGACCCGCGATAATGTGCCCCCCCGACAATTCCATGAGATCCTTGGCGTCATTCGTGGGAATCGATGGTTCCGTGTAATAAATTGAAGGTGTATCGGTCGACACCTCGTCCTGACATCGCACTATGGTAATCACAATTAAAAACCATAGTGAATGCATTTTAACACGAAACACACTCATCAATGGCAACACTCAGTTTTATTATCTCCAGCACAAATGAATTACAAACAATGTGTCACATATCAGTGCAACAATCGCAGGTTGAATGTAACGATCGTTCCACCGTCGTGAAGATACATCCCACACATTGAACTTTGTAATTCCCCTTATTTCACTGTTTTATCGAGACAAATTCACTTTCAACGATTTATCGCACTGAGTTTCACTAGCTCTTGATTACACAAATACACGAGACGTTTTACATCACTGTTGTGTAATTTCATTGGAGTTACGATCATAGATTCATTAAATTGGGTAAAAAAACGGGATGAAATGAAAATTTTGGGTTTGAGAAATTCCCGATTGGATCAATACCCGTTCTAAAAAATATACCTGGTGGACGCTAGTCACCCACGGGGACTCACAACCGTACTTTACGCTGGGTGCGGTTTGACTTGGGTGCACTTCTACAAACCCAGGGAATCGTTTGTTACCTCCGCCTCCACTCGGTGTTTGCCGCGGAGACCGAGACTGCTATTCTACCTTTCGAAAAGTGGTATAGGCTGGTCACGTGATCCGTTGAGGAAACTACGTCACGCAGGTTGTGAAACAGGTGAGATACACGGGTTTTTCGTTATAGTGCGGTAAACGCGTTACCATCGCGACAGCCCGTTGGCGTCCACCTGAATTGTGCCTGGGTTTTACGTTCGTCAGGGGGAAGGTTTGAATATGCGAGAATGAGCGCGGTCGACGGAAGGGTGGGGGCGTTGCCTTGGCGACGA